CAGTGGTTGAGAGTCCGCCTGTCGATGCAGGGGACACGGGTTCGTGCCCGGGTCCGGGAAGATCCCACATGCCGTTGAGTGGCTAGGCCCGTGAGCCATGGCTGCTGAGCCTGCGCGTCCGGAGCCTGTGCTCCGCAACGGGAGAGGCTGCAACAGTGAGGGGCCCGCGTACCGCAAAAAAAAAAAAAAAAAAATTGACAGAAGAAAAAAAATCTTCTTGACAAGATTTAGATCCACAAAATTGGATTCAGGGAAATTAGATCCGCTAGAAATAATAGCACCCCCACAAACCCCCCCACACACACAGATCACACTGGATAAAGCTATAAGAAGTGAAATACAGGGACTTCCTTGGCGGTCCAGTGGTTAAGACTCTGTGCTTCCACTGCAGGGGGCACGGGTTCAATCCCTGGTTGGGGAACTAAGATCCCGCATGCCATGCAGCCAAAAGAGAAAAAAAAAATTTTAATAAATAATAATGCTGTTTTTTTAAAAAAGATGAAATATGATTTGAACAGATCTTTCGTTGAAAGTTCCCTGACAAAGAATAATTTTAGTAATAAAATAATTTCAGTAAAGTGAAAATGGAAAGAGTTTAATTGCACCTTATAGACAATCAAGCAAGGAATTAAATTGGATTAAAGTTTGTTGCTCTTTTGGAGACATAGAGAATGTAGACAGAGAAGAGAGGCTTACAATGAAGCCCTAAGACATACCCATATGAACGTTTGGAACATTCAGAGGTAAAGAAGATAGAGAGCGAGCAAAAGAGATGAGAAGGGATGGCCAGGGAAGCCGAAGGAAAACCAAGGGTATGGAAATCAACACCAGAGTCTTTCAAGAAGGAGGGTGGGGTCAACTGTGTCCACTGATACTGAAAGGTTGAGTAAGATGAGGACAGAAAAGTGACCAACAACCAAGTCCTTGGCTGAGTCCTCCTCCTTGACCCTCCCTCTAAATGCTGGAGCTTGCCAGGTCCTTAGATTTGTTTGGGGTTTTTTTGGCCTCGCCGAGCAGCATGTGGACCAGGGATCGAATCCAGGCCCCCTGCCTTGGAAGTGCAGAATCTTAACCACTGGACCACCAAGGAAGGAAGTCCAGATTTTTCCTTTTTTTTTTTTTTTTTGTTCCCTAGGTGATCTTATCCAATCCCATCTACATATAAACACCCTGCAATTTTACATTTCTAGCCCTGAACTCTCCCCAGAGCTCAACTCCTATAGCTAACAGCCTGGCAGACATATCCATTTAGAAGTCTAACAGGCATATATCTCAAAGTTAACATGTCCAGGGACTTCCCTGGTGGCTCAGTGGTTAAGAATCCGCCTGTCAGTGCAGGGGACATGGGTGCGAGCCCTGGTCCGGGCAGATCCCACATGCCGCAGAAGAACTAAGCCCATGCACCACAACTACGGAGCCTGTGCTCTAGAGTCCGTGAGCCACAACTACTGAGCCTGAGTGCCATAACTACTGAAGCCCGTGTGCCTAGAGCCCGTGCTCTGCAGCAAGAGAAGCCACCCAATGAGAAGCCCGGGAACCGCAATAAAGAGTAGCCTCCGCTTGCCGCGACTAGAGAAAAGCCCGCACGCAGCAACAAAGACCCAAGGCAGCCAAAAATAAAAATAAATTAAAAAAAAAAAAGTTAACATGTCCAAAAAGGGGCTTCTGATATCCCCTCCACTCCCATCAGAACTTCTCCTTCTCTTGTTTTCCATAGCTCAGTAAATAGCACCATCTACATAGCTGTGCAAGTCAAAATCTTGGGAGTCATTCATGACTCTCCTCTGCACATTTTCCTCCTCCCCTAAGCCTATTCATTAGCCAGTCCTGAGGTGTCACTTCCAAAGTCTCTACTGCTCTTCAATTCATTCCCGTCACCCTGTACCCACTGCAACCACCCTAGATTCATTTCATCATTATTGGTCACCTGAATTATTACAATGCCCTCTATAGTACTCTCTCTGCTTCCTCTCATATCATCCCTCCCACACTGATCCTTTTTAAGGATAAATTAGAGCATATCCCTTCTCTTTTCAAAATGTTCAGTGGCTCCTCATTTCACTCAAAGAAGAAGCCAAGGCCACTACAATGGCCTATGTGACTCCCACATGCCTCTCCCCACTATCATCCTCCTTTCCCCCCACACCCTCCAGCCTCAGCTACTCTGTTCACTCTGCTGCACTCACACTGGTCCCTTGCTCTTCCTCAAACACACCAGGCATGCTTCACCTCAGGGCCTTTGCACATGCTGTCCTTGCTGCCTGGAACACCCTTACAGACATGGCTTGCTCCTTCATCTTCTTAATGTCAACATCACCATGGCCTCCCCTTGCCATCTTTTCTAAAATTGCAATGTCTCTCTGAAATACTTCCTTGCTTTATTTTCTCCCTAACACTATCCTTATCATACTTCTTATATTTCTGCCTTGTTGTTTACATGTTTATTATCTGTGTCTCCATTCAGCCTCCACCCCCACAAGAATGTAAGTTCCAGAAATCTTTGTGGACAAGAATGCTTATTCACTGTTATTCTTGTGCCTAAAACAGTGTCTGGCATAGTCAGTCTTATAAATATTAGTGAGTAAATGGATAAACAACCCTTTTGAGAAGAGGATCAGAAAAACACTGAAGTGCCTGGAGCAGGTTATGGAATCCAGGGCAGTGAAGGTCAAAGATGGAAGTGACTAGAACAAATATATGTGGTTACAGTAATGACCTGGTAACTAGGGACCAGTTGGTGCTGCAGGAGAGAAAGTGGACAATTGCAGAGCTAATTCTTCCAGTAGGTGAGAGGAGATGAAATCAGGATCACAGCTGTGGCTTTGGGAGGAGGTCACCTCCTCTTCTGTAGCAGGAAAAGAAGGAGAGCAGATGGTTGCAGAAGCTGGCAAGGCAGTAGACTGGATGGAGGAAGATGAGGCTTCTATTTTCTCCATGAATTAGGAAAGGAAGCCATTAGCTGGAAGGAGTGTGGAGGAACAGAGCAGGGGAATCTGAGGAGAGGGGGAAATGCATAAGCCTATAGGAGCTCGGCAAAGGGAGTTTATTGGAGGGGAGTGGCCTAACCCCCAATAATTTCTATCAAGTTCCCTCAACAATCATCTCCTCATTCTTCTGTACAGTGCTGAGCAAACGCAGTTTCCAGAGTCCTTGGGTCCAGACAGCCATCATGAGTTTCCCTCACCCTGGAGTTGGCAGCAAGGAGGGGGAGGCTCTCAGCTCACCTGCTCCCAGCCACCAGCTCTTCCAGTGCCTGGTTCAGCCGTGTGCAGGTCCCGGAAGTGGGGCTGCGCTGCAGACTCTCAACCTCCTGCAGCCCCCGGTCCTGCGGCACCAGGTGAGAAGGTCAGACTCCGACCTCTTTTACACCACACCCTCATCCCGAGGCCCCGCCCACTCACAACTGCACCTCTTGGCCCCACCCTTTGACTCCAACTTGTTCTCTGTTCAGTTTTTCAAGCCCTCTGCTGGCTCCGCACCTTTCTAAGCGGAGCTAGGTCGCGAGGATGGGGTTTGCAGTCGGGGGCGGGACCCAGGGCAGAGAGGGCCCAGGCAGAGGCTGCACGCGCCGGCCAGATGCGCTCACCCGCCCCGCCCGGATGCGAGATCTGCCTCAGGTCCAGCAAGTGCGTGGCGAGGGCCACATCGACCAGGGGCGTCCCGTAGCTGCAGACGAAGGCCACATCGACCAGGGGCGTCCCGTAGCTGCAGACGAAGGCGGCGCATCAGCGGCGGCAAGAGCTCCACGAAGCTCAGCTGCTCGTTCCACTCGGGCGCCGTCGCCTCGCCGCGCAACGACGTCTCGCCCTGAGCGCGGCGGCGAAGACAGGCGGAGAGGGGTCAGCGCCGATCAGGGCCTAGGCCTCCGCCGAGTGAGGACGGGAGGGACTTACCTGCTGCCCCAGGAAAGACACCCGCACATAGGGGTCCATGAGGACGCGCTGGTCGTGCAGGGCGCGGGCCAGGCTGCCCAGCAGGCCGGGGCGCTGCGCCGGAAGCCCCTCGGCGCGGTACACACGCACTCGCAGCCGCGCCCACGGTCTCTCCGCTGCCACCCGACGCGGCAACAGCAGGTTCCTAAGGGAGCCGGGCGCTGAGGGTCCCAGAAACCCGAGGCTCGGCCCCTCCCCGTCTCCGCATCCCGGAGGCCACGCCCCGTCCTAGTCTCCCCTCCCCATCTCACCCCAGCTCACTTCTCGATGTCCGAACTGTGGCCAGGGCCCGGGAGTGGCAGCGGAGGGGCCAGGTCCCCGCGCGCCCTCACGGACAAAGTGACCTTGACGAAACCTTTGGTCCCGGCGCGTGTATCCCGGGAGTCGTGCAGAGAAGCCCATTTCTGATAGAAGTGGCCATATGGGGACGGAGGAGCAGACCAGGGGTCAGGGGAGACCGGTGGGATGCGCAGGGTGGTCGTGGGGCTGCGATCCGAGTGCTGGACAACGGCCGGGGTTCAAGTCCAGCTCAGGAAGGAGGAGCGGCAGTGCGTGGAGGTCAGACGTCGGAAGAGATTGCTGTCTCACAAGTTAGTACACTGGGCTCAGGGCCCAGAGGTTCAGCTTCCCTTGTCCGTGCAGAGGAGTCTCAGTGAGGGGAGGGTTCAGTACCTGGCTGGTCGAAGATAATGCCCAGGTCCATCCTGAAGGTGCCTATCCGGGTGGCCATAAAGGGGAGGGTCTACGAATGGAAAGCCTGGGGAAAGGTGGCGTTAGTCCTGGAGCTTCGGCATCTCCCCTTCTCTGACGGAAACCTCTCACCCCTACCCGCCTCACCGTGATCTCCAGCAGCAAGTCCTGGAGGTGAAGCCGGGTCTCATGAAATTCAAACAAGAAGTACTGGGTTGAAGTGGGGAAGCGAGAGAAGTCAGAGAAGGTTATACGTGAAGGGTTCACGCCAGGTGGTCCCTGCCTCTGGCAAAGAGAACGCTCTCCTTCCCCACCCTTCCTCACCACGACCGCCCGCCACTCGGAGACCACACCTCTTTGCACCCTTTCCCGCAAAGAGCCCTTAGCTTCAGGCCCGCCAATAGGCTCGCTTCCACCTAGGCTACGCCCCCTCCACACAGTTCTTATCCTGGGTCCCGCCCATTCCCTCAGGCTCCCCCTTCCTTGGTAGCACCCACTTCGTTGAAGAAGGGGCAATTTGTCCCGCGCTGCGTGGCGGTCACTCGGCGTTGCTCCCCAACGCGCACGGCCACATAGGGATTAATGTTGACTCCCACCAGCTTCCGGGCCTCAAGCACCATGACCCCCCCCCTAAAGGATGGGGAAGGAGGAGAAAAGGAAGCTAAGCCTGCCTCGGTACGAGGGAAGAACGGGTGTGGAGGGCGGGTGGTATTCCCCAAGGGTTCAGGCCTGGAGGGGGAGCGGTACCTGGAAGTCCTGGGCCCTGGATACCTGGAAGGGATCCCCGCGGGCCAGGCCCAGAGCTCGGCTGCGGAGAGGCTTACAGTCAGCTCTCACTTCACTTCCTCCCCTCCACTCCGCCGTCCACACACACACCCTTGCTTGGCGCTGGCGTTAAGATCTCTCCCTCTGAAGATTCTGAGTCCTTCTAGCCTTATCTTGCCTCCATCTCAGTCCTACACTCAGAATTTGACTCATTCCTGGAGCCCTAAAACCATGCATTCATTCAACAAAGATTGAATGAGCACCTTCTATGTACCAACACTGTTCTAGGCACTGGAACACTGCAGTGAACAAAGGAGGCAACATTCCTTGCCCTCAACAGGATTTCATCACTTTCATGGGTTCCAGAGGCCATGTGTGAGCCAGTGTAACTGTGTGTGAATGTAGCAGTGTCTATGCCTAGGAATGAATGACCCTTGACCCCAGGATATCCACTCCCCCACCCATACCCTGAGACCATGTGTTTGTGAGGGTGGACAGGCACAGGCCTGCATGTATGAGTGAGTGAGGTTGACACACTGCTAGGTTATGGGAGCAGGTGCTCAGTGGGTACAAGTTACCTCTTGAGGGGGCTGAACGCGACGCCAGAAAGCTCCACATCAGGCTTGTCCTCCAGCTCCAGCTCCAGCTTGTTGGCCTCATCGCCCTGCTGACCTACTCCTCAAGCTAGCCTGCGGCCCAATGCCACTGCCCACCGCTCGAGCCGGGCCTCCCCAGGCCTCACAGGAAAGGCCATCAAGGAACATGTCTTGGACTTATCACCCATCTCTGGGCACCCATCTCTGACTTCCCTGACTCTAGGACCCACCCCTGCCCCTTGGTCTGACCCCTAACCTGGGAAACCTCTAGTTCCAGAATTGACCCCTGATTCTAGGACTGACTTCTCACCCTGGAATTGGTCCAGTACTGATCCCAGACCCAGGGACTGACCCCACATCACTGGCTCCCAATCCCAAGACTGACCCTGTAATCCCAGGTCATCCCCACATACTTACTCCAGCTCCTGGAAGCCCACATTGGGAATGATCAGCTCTGAGCTGGGAGACGGAGAAATGACAGGAGAGGGCCATGCCTGACTACAGAGCTACAACCTGGGCAGCACGGGTCCAAGGGTCACCATATCCACCAGATCCACAGTGGAATTGGGTACCACTTCTCTCTTACCAAGGCCTGCCTGGGCCTTGGTTCGGTGGGTGGGAGGGTTACCTGTCCCGAATGGGTGCTCCAAAGTCCTCTTCTGCCCAGGCTCCAGTTTCACCCTCTGGGGGCTGGTACTTCAGGTCAAGTTCCACCTGGACCTAAAACCAGATACACAGTAGGCCTTGGGCCCCTCAAACTACCCTGATGCTAAGAAAAGCCCAAAGACAATGCCTTTTATTCCACCTATAAACAGAGACCCTCCTGGCTGCATCTCTGATAACTTGTGGTTCCTCTATGATCATTAATAATAGTGAGTACTCATAAGCTATCAAGGGTTTCCCTGGTGGCGCAGTGGTTGAGACTTTGCCTGCCGATGCAGGGGACACAGGTTCGTGCCCCGGTCCGGGAAGATCCCACGTGCCGCGATGTGGCTGGGCCCGTGAGCCGTGGCCGCTGAGCCTGCGCGTCTGGAGCCTGTGCTCCGCAACGGGAGAGGCCCACGTACCACAAAAAACAAAAAACATAAGCTATGAAGAGCTTACCTGTTGCAAGTAACCTCTTTAAGGGGGCCAACACAATTCCAAAATTCTCTCATCGCTCTTGGAAATCCATTAGTGTGGCCTTCACAGCTCTGCGTGATCTGGCCCCTGCCAACATTTCCAGTCCCATCCCTTATGGGGTCTGCTCCTGCCCTGCACCCTGGTTATGCTCTCTCAGGGCGCTGGGCTTTTGCATATGCTGGTTCTTCCGCCTGCAACATTCTGTCCTCCCACTTATTTATCACCTATCGTATCCTTCAATTCCAAGCTCAAACATTACTTCCTCAGGGAACCTTTTCTGAACCCTAAATAGGTCACATCCCTCTGTTATACATTCTCCCAGCCCCCTACCAGCTCTTTTGTAACACCAATCGGTGTCAATTTTACATTTATTTGTGTGAATATTTGTTTAATGTTTGCCTCTCTCTTCAGATACGGAGCTCTAAGAGGGCAAGTCCTTATCTGGTTTTGTTCACCACTCAATCGTCATTGCTCAGCACTGCACTTGGCTTATAATCAGAGCTCAGCGAATGACAACAGACTGAATGAAAAGCTGGACATTTTGTACAACTCCACATAAGGTAAGTGAGGAAACAACCTAGAGAAGCTGAATAACTTGTCCAAGTTCTCAGCTGGGAAGTGGTGGACTTGAGATTTGAACCCAGGTTCATTTCTACCAGGCTGTACTGCCCCTCCATGAAACACCAGGAAAATCCAGCCAGGTTCATCTTCGTCCCCTACAGGAGCTGCGCCTGGTACAGGGTCAGGGAGCAGCACGGAGCTCCTTATCTTCCCTTGCCACACAACTCTGGCCCTCAGAGCTGAACCCGAATCTTGGCCTGGGGGCTGTAATGAAAGGCGCCCTGGCTCAGGGGCCTTGTTACCACTCCTGTCTGGGTCTGGGTTTTCCCCCTGGACAAACGGAACCCTCTATCTAGAGGGACTCTCAGGCTTGGGGGTGGCAGGCTGGGGGCTGACGGAACTCACTGGGGACACGCGCAGATTCTCATCCACTAGGGCCTCCTGCAGCACCAAATGCCCTGCAGTCTGTAGCTGCTGCAGGGATATCACCAGCGTCCCCAGAGACCTGGGGGTGTGGCATGAAGCAGAAGAATGACCCAGGAGAATGGTCGCAAGCCACCCTCTACCCCTACTTGCATCCTTGGCTCCCCAGGCCTGCTCACCTGGGGCTGAACACGTGGCTGCAGTTGACCACCTGTACAGACAGTCACTCCCCAGCCAGTGGAGCCTCATAGTGTAGCCAACGGAACAGCTGGGAATTGGAGGAACCTTGTGACACCCAATGCTGGGCTGACACTGACCCCTAATCCAGAGTCTGAAATAGGAGCCAACCCTAAAAACTGAGAGCTAACTCTATGACGGATCTCCTAAACCTGGAACCAACCCTCCCAAACTAGGGCTGATCTGGGGCTAACTACCAATCAAGAACTAATCCCCCCCAGTCTTGATTCTGACTTGCCCAAACTGAGTCCAACCTCTTTAGCCGGAAATTAACCCCACCTCCTGAGACTATACCTCCCAAAGCCAGGAAAAAACCTCCCAAACCAAGGATGGACTCATATGGGGCACAGATCAGCTTCTCCCCATCCAGAATCCAACCCCACTGACCTCACCGATATCTGCTTCTTGACCACAGTGAATTCTCCTTGTTTTCTGGATAAAACCTGCCAGAATTGAATCTAGTCATTTATCAGCTCCTCCCCACACACACAAAAAAATCATCCCTCCATTCACTCTTGGCCCAGGGTCTAATCCCCCTGGACTCACCCTTAAAGAGACATAGAAGATAGGGAGGGAGGGAAGCAGAGAGTTGGAGACATTGGACTTGGGGAGAAAGGGGACAGGCTGTAGAGATGCCTAGGGATGGGGTGGGGGGCCTGGGGAATGGAGGAACTGGAGCTCTCCAGTTCCAAACATTCTCAGAGCACCCCTGCAAACCTCACCAAGCTGAGCCTCACCTGTAGGTCATGGGTGCCCGGCAGCCCTGTCAGTCACCGCACACACACGGTCAGAGCCATTGTCCCAGGGCCAATGGCTCTGCCTCTGCCTGCTTGCCCTCCTGCCCACCCGCCCACCCACCTGAATCGCCTCTGACTCACTGGACTCACCCAGCAGGTTCAGCAATCCCTGCCCTTTAGTCAAACACAAAATCAGCAGGCCTGGGGGTCACGGGTAGGGAGGAAGTGGGAAGACAGAGAGATAGGGGTAAGGTCCCTGTGGTCAGTTCAGTCCTCCCTGCCTGCACCAGCTTCAGCCTCCTTCCTGCCTCCTTGTAGGGTGGGAGCTGCGACAGGGTGGGGATGGAGGCAAGGGGAGAGGGCCAGACCCAAGGCTGGTCTGTGCTAGCCTGTGAGGACTCAAGGACATGGGACCTCATGTTGTTCCTTGTTCACTTCACTGTCCTCAATGCCCAGCTCAGGGTCTGGCACATTGCAAACCCTCAAAACATGGCCCGAATGGATGTATTAATAAATGAATCCCCTAGCTCCCAGCATTAGCATGGAGGCACTCAACACATTTATTGAATTAATGAGTGACTGAATGTGTGTCCCTAGCTTGTACATAGCAGGTGTTCAAAACACTTCTTAACCAAAAGCTAGAGGTCCTTCAGCTGGGGTTTACTGGTGAGTACTGAACTCCAGGGCAGGATTTTGGAATTCTAATCTTTGGTCTCAGGAAAATCCTTTCCGCTCTCTGGACCTATTTGCCTAGCTGTGTAATATGCACAGGATGAACTGCACTGCTTTTCAAAGTATGGTCCCTAATCAGGATCACACATGTGGTTGTTAAAAATGCACATTTTGGGCTTCCCTGGTGGCACAATGGTTAAGAATCCACCTGCCAATGCAGGGGACGTGGGTTCGAGCCCTGGTCTGGGAAGATCCCACATGCCGCAGAGCAACTAAGCCCGTGCACCACAACTACTGAACCTGTGCTCTAGAGCCCGTGAGCCACAACTACTGAGCCCACGTGCCACAACTAATGAAGCCCGCGCGCCTAGAGCTCGTGCTCCGCAACGAGAGAAGCCACCGCAATGAGAGGCCTGCGCACCGCAATGAAGAGTAGCCCCCGATCACTGCAACTAGAAAAAAGAAAGCCCGCGTGCAGCAACAAAGACCCAATGCAGCCAAAAATAAATAATTAATTTTTAAAAAAATGCACATTCTGGGACTTCCCTGGTGGTCCAGTGGTAAAGAATCCACCTTACAATGCAGGGGACGTGGGTTCGATGCCTGGTCGGGGAACTAAGATCCCACATGCCTCCGGGCAATTAAGCCCACATGCCACAGCTACTGAGCTCGCGAGCCTCAACTAGAGAAGAGAAAACCCTCGTACCACAACTAGAGGGGAGCCCGCGCACCGCAAGGAAGAGCCTGTATGCCACAACTGAGACCTGACACATCCAAAAATAAATAAAATATATAAATAATAAATAAATCTTTAAAAAAATATACATGAAAATTCCTGCGCCCACTCTAGAAATGCTAAAGTAATATCTCAAGGTGTGCCTGGGAACCTGAATTTCTATAAGCTGCACTGGTACTATCCTGTTACACAGCAGGAGTTTGGGAACATCTGGTCGCTTGGCTGTGATCATGTGTGATTCCTCATTCCCTTCTAGGTGACTCAGATGGTCTGAGTGTGGGTATGGAGATTGGTGGGTACTGAATTCTCACCCCACAGACCCCTGGTGAATATGGGTCTGGGAGAGGAACCCACAGATCCCTGAGGTCAGAGTTCTCTGGCCTAATGACTAGGATGAGAGGAGGGGCCTGAAGGGTTGTAGAGCAAAAGAGACTAAGAAACTAAAAAGACTTTATTGAGAAGTGCTGTGGGTGATCCCTTGCTCCTTAACATTTATTCATTCACAGATATTTGAGCACCTACTACATGCTAGGCCTATCTAGGCACTGGAGGATACAGTAGTGAACAAAACAAAAATCCCTGCCTTCATAAAGTTTACTGCTGTACTGGGAGTAACAGGTTATGGAAAGAGAGGAAGAAAGGAAAGAAAGAAAGAAAGAAGGAAGGAAGGAAGGAAGGAAGGAAGGAAGGAAGGGAAGGAAGGAAGGAAGAAAGAAAGAAAGAGAAAAAGAAAACACATAGCATGTCAGTAATAAGTGCTAAGGAGAAAAACAAAGCAGGAAGGGGGGACAGAAATTCTTTTACGCAGAGTGTAGTTTTGGACGGGGTGTTCTGGGAAGTGCTGTGATGTCACTGCTTGCTTTAACCTGGGAAAGAATAAGAGAGACTGCCAAGGCTCCCCAGTGACGTCACGACTAGCTCTGTGACTCCACACCAGAGCGTTCGGCGGAGACCCTGGTCTCCTCTATGAAGTCAGCAGCCAGGCCCAGATATAGGGGAGAGGGTTGGGTCAGGCCGCCGGGCACGCTGGCTGCACGCAGAGTCCTTGGGGTACCGGCGGCGCGCACCTGCTGAGGGAGGGCCGAGGGCCTTGGCGGCTCAGGCGGTGATTCTGGCGTCCGTGAGGGGGGCAGCCCGGGGTCAGGATGCAGCGAAGACCCCGCCCGGGCTCTGCCGCGTTCCCGCACAAGCACACGCCCAACTTCTACAGCGACAACAGCAACAGCTCTATGAGCATCACCTCGGGGGAAAGCTGCGGGCACCGGTCAGCTGGGCCGGAGCCCGGGGAGCCCGAGGGCAGAAGAGGCCGGGGCTCTAGCTGCGGTGAGCCCGCCATGAGCGCTGGAGTGCCCGGAAGAACCACAAAGGCTGAAAGCTCTCGGCTGAAGCCGGCGCCTCGGAGCCACAGTGGGCCGACCGCCTCTGGCGCGGCAACCGTGAGGGGCGGGGCCTCGGGTGCGGGCGGGGTCGAAACCGGGGGAGAGGAGGGGCCTAAGGGGTGGGGCTTGGCGCGGAAGCGGGATAAAACTATCTGGGCACCTCCTAAGGGGCGGGACCTGTAGGGTGAAAACAGGAGGTACTAGATAAGATGCCCCAAAGGGGGGCCTCGGTGTGGTGGACTGTCCTGGGGAGGGGCGGGGAAAGTCCTGTGATTGGGCACCACTGAGGAGGCGCGGCCTCGGTGTTAGCATGAATTGGCTACCGGGGAAATGGGGCCGTATCAAGACCTAAGGCTGGGGGCGGGGCCACCGTTTGGGAGGTGGGACCACGTCTAGACTGAGCTTTCTGGGCGCGGGGGCGTCAGAGTGCTGCGAGAGACCCGGGATGGGGCTGCATTGGGACCAAAGCCCCTGAGGCTGCTCTGCTTCTGGGCTGGGGAACCTGCGGCCAGGTGCCGGGGAAACAGCGGGCCTGCGGTGCGCAAGGCCTCAATGGAGCCCCTTGGGCTCCCGCAGAACCGGCTGGCTCTCCCGGTGTCCCTGAGGAGCAGCTCGACCTCTCGACTCTGGATCCGAGGCAGGAGATACCTCCCCCGCGAGTGTCCAAGAGCTTCCTGAGTACGGGCCAGGCCAGCCCAGATCCCCTCTGACCCTCTGGCCCCCCTCTCCGAATTCCATTTCTCACCTCTGGGGCCCTGGTTTCAGTTCTGAGCCCCCAGCCCGTGTCTGATTCTCCAGCTCTTTCTCTGAGCCCGATCCATCTTCCCTGAGAATGAGAATCCAAATCATTCTCCTCGCCCGCATCTAATTCTCCTAGCCCACACCGCTGTTCCTGAGTCCCTATCCCCGAGCCCCCTTCCTAAGCCCCTTCTGAACCTCGAACACCACGCTCTGTGAGCCCCTCACCTCTCCCCCTCCCTAAGCCTAGTCCCTTCTCTGAGCCCCCTCTCTTCTCCTCAGGCCCACTCTTCCAGGTGCTGAGCGTGTTGTTATCCCTGGTAGGAGGTGTGCTGGTCAGTGTGTACAGGTCAGAGGGAGGGAAAGGGGAGCCCCAGGGGCTGCTCCTTGAGGGGGTGGGGAGCAGGGCCAGACCCGGCTGCGGCTTGAGCCGATTCACACCTGTGTTCACAGGAGCTGGGTCTAGGACACTGGGGTGGGGTCCGTGGGGTTCGCTAGGGTATCGGGGCCTCAGCCTCCCTCCGGTTCTTTAGGGAGGTCTGTTCCGTCCGCTTCCTGCTCACGGCTGTGTCACTGCTGAGCCTCTTTCTGGCAGGTGAGAGGGCGGTGAATTCCCTAGGCCCTAGCCCTGGCTGCTTTGGAGGCAAACGTGGTACATTTTCTCCTGTACCCTTCAGCCCACTCAGTCTCTTCAGAGGCTTACAGCTCCTCACAGTCCCCTTCAGAGCCTTCTAGTCCCCCCCTCAGACTCAGCCCCTTCAAGCCTCTTCTCTCCCCACTGTCCCCTTTATGCCAGAGAAAGCCTCTCCCTTCTCTTCCCCTGAGACCAGCCCCCTCTTTCTCCAGCACTCTGGTGGGGACTCTGGTACCTGGCCCCTCCTTTGGAGAATGTGAGTCGGGGAGACTGTCCCGGGGTGGGTGGTTGGCAGGCTGTGCACCTGCAGGTTGTGTGGAGTCCCCTGGGCCGCTGGGAGCAGGGCAGTGCTGGAAGCTATAACCCTAAGGAAAGGCTGGATATAAACAGGAGATTTCTGAAGGATTGTGCCCAGAGGTGCTTGAGGGTCTGTCTCTGAGAGGTCCTGGAAGGGCAGGGCAGGGGGGCAGGGGTTGGCAGTCCTCAGAAGCAAGGCCCTTTGAGTCTGGCCTCCCACACTGAGGTGGGAACAGAGGTGGGTGGGAGCTCAGCAGCACTGTATTTTGTCCCTCCCTCCTCCCTCCAACAGGAACCTAAGGAGATACTGACTCTAAGGTGAGAGAGAGCACCTGGGGTGGGGAGTTGGGGGCCTCAAAGGTGCTGAAGTGTCCAGGGGGACAGGGAGCCAACTGCACCGTGCCAACCTTCTGTCTGCAGCGAATACCACGAGCGCGTGCGCTCCCAGGAGCAGCAGCTGCAGCAGCTCCGGGCTGAGCTGGTTAAACTCCACAAGGAGGTGTCCAGCGTTCGCGCAGCCAACAGCGAGGTGAGCCCCGCAGACTCATCCTGTTCTCAGAACCAGGTCCAGGAGCTCGGGCCCCAGGAGCCTGGCCCCGTGGCTCTGCCCATTGCATAATCCCGGCCCACCTTGCAGCTCTGCTCCCTGAGTCCTGAGCCTTAAGGCCCTGCCTAGAGCCCCGCCTTTGGAATTTCTCCCGGGGCCCACAAAGTCTATCCCCAGAGAACTCTGCCCCACTATAAAAGCTGCCCTCAAGCCCCGCCCCTTCAGGCCCCGCCCTCTCTCTTTTCAGAGAGTGGCCAAACTCGTATTCCAGAGGCTGAGTGAGGACTTTGTGCGGAAACCCGACTATGCGCTGAGCTCTGTGGGTAAGACTCAGAGACACAGGCAGAACTATGCACATGAGCGGCTCCAGGAGACCAACCTCAAACAGACCCTGCCCCAGCTGTCAGTCAGGCCTAGGAGCCCCTGAGTGGTTGCTTCTCCCTGCTCCAGGAGCCTCCATCGACCTAGAGAAGACGTCCCCCGACTACGAGGATGCGAACACTGCCTACTTCTGGAATCGCTTCAGCTTCTGGAACTATGCGCGACCGCCCACGGTTATCCTGGAGGTGGGCCTGGAACCTAGATCCCTGAACGGGACCTGGGGCGGGACTCTGGGAAAAGGACCCCCGCAGCTCCCCTGGGGTGGGACCTGACTGAACTGAGGGCGTGGCGCCAGGCGGAGCCCTGCTGGGCAGAAGTCCTGGAGGCAGGGCCTGGCTTGTTTGGGGTGAGGCTCTGGGTGAGGCCGAGAACAACGTGATACTGAAGAGACCTGGCCCTACTAGGTACTGGGGCCCTGGGCAGACACCGGGCTGGGGTTGGAGGACTGGGCGGGGCCCATGATGGGGTCAACCTGTCCTGTGGTTCTGATGGGCTGTGTGTCTGTCTGCCCGCCTGCAGCCAGATGTGTTCCCTGGGAATTGCTGGGCTTTTGAGGGCGACCAGGGCCAGGTGGTGATCCAGTTGCCGGGTCGTGTGCAGCTGAGCGACATCACTCTGCAGCATCCACCGCCCAGCGTGGCACACACCCGGGGAGCCAAGAGCGCCCCGCGTGACTTCGCAGTCTATGTAAGTGGGGCTGAGGCCAAGGAGGTGGGGGATTTTTGCCTAGAGAGCACAAGGCAGTCATGAAAACTGAGACTACTGAGTCTTTGCTCGCTCATCCATAAAATGGAGATACTACCACTTGCCTCTCAAGGCTGCTGCAGGTTATAATTATAACCATATTCAAATATTAGTTATGGTTTATTGAGTGCTTACTCTGTGCAGAGTACTTTACATGGATTATATATCCTTGCATCCACACAACAACCTATGAAGTGCAAGTGGTCGAACTAAAATTTGCAACTTGATTTCTTTGAGCCCACATTCCACACTATACTATCCTAACACCAAAAAATAAATGAGAATATGCATACAGATACTGAACAGAGTTGGTGCTAAACAGTTACTCTCCCTCCTCCACCTGTGCCTCACTGTTCCTCCACTCATTCTTCACTTACTAGGGCCTCCAGGTTGATGATGAGACTGAAGTTTTCTTGGGGAAATTCACCTTCGATGTGGAGAAATCTGAGATTCAGACTTTCCACCTAGAGGTATGTTTGTCTCACAGTGAAGGAATATTGGGGAGGAAGGCAGTCCTTGGGAGACCAGGCCTTGGCATGATCCATTTGTCTCCCCAGAATGACCCCCCAGCTGCCTTTCCCAAGGTGAAGATCCAGATTCTAAGCAACTGGGGCCACCCCCATTTCACATGCCTGTATCGAGTCCGAGCCCATGGCATTCAAACCTCAGAGGGGGCAGGGGACAGTGCCACAGGGGGGGGCCCATTAAACATGCTGATTGTTGGAGTAGAGTGGAGGTCTATGCTGAAAGAAGCTGGATCAGTGCTGGGAGGGCTATTGCGGGAAGAGGGGTGTGTGGCGCTCTAGTTGCCTTTGGTATATAAACATGGTTGGGGGGTCTACCAAAACGCCCTCTTTGAGGGCGCAGCAGTAGATGATGTTTATGGAGTGTTTACCATGTGCACAAGACAGTACTCTGGACGTTATATGCCTTACCCTAACTAATCTTCACAGCCACAGAGGCGGAAGCCACTCAGGTCAGGAAAGTTGCTCAAGGTCACACAGCTAACGAAGAGCTCAAACACAGCAGGACCCCAAGCCTACCACCCTCTTGCAGAGCTGCCAGTCAGCATGAAGCCATGCTTGTGCACCTCAATTCTCACCCCAACTCTTGCTAGGTGCAGGTGGAGGAGGAACTACCCCTTCAGGTAAAAACTAGGGAGACTTGAGAACCTCTAGGAAGCATCTGAGTCAGAGTTGATGCAGGCCTGGTCACCTTTACTCAGGTTGTCTTTACTGGGACCTGAGTGCATGACTATGCTAGGCACAGTACAGGTGGTCTAGTATTTACCAGTCCCTGCCCTCAAGGACCCTGATAGGGGAGAGATGATGCTCCAGAAAAATGGGAGAATTCATTGATCCAAGAACTCTTCACTCTAAGGGTCAAAAGTAGAATGGGAGGGAAAAAGAGGGAGGAGCCGGACATTAAAGGGTTAATGAGTTCTGCCCAGGCCAAGAGGAGAAAAGGAAAACAAGCGTGAACAAAGAAACATGCAACATCTTGACTATTAGGATCCTTTGTAGTGTGTTCATGTTTTGGAAGAATATATAGACTATTAACAGTGGTTACACCTCTAGAAAGTGGAATGCATGAGTATGTGAGGGGAGTGGAACATGCATCCATCTGTTTAAATTTTGGGGTTATTACTCTTAAAGCCTAAGGTTTTCTAACTAATGAACTAATACAGCTTTTCTAGAGGGCAACTTCATAGTAAGTACCAAAAGCCTTAAATTTTTTTTGCAGTACGCAGGCCTCTCACTGCTGTGGCCTCTCCCGTTGCGGAGCACAGGCTCTGGACGCGCAGGCTCAGCAGCCATGGCTCACGGGCCCAGCCGCTCCGCGGCATGTGGGATCTTCCCAGACCGGGGCACGAACCTGTGTCCCCTGCATCGGCAGGCGGACTCTCAACCACTGCGCCAGCAGGGAAGCCCCAAGCCTTAAATTTTTTTATACTTTTTAATCACTGCAATTCCACTTCTAAGCATGGATCCAAAGGATACCTAGGTATAATCTAAGTTAATACTTTAAGGATGTCCATCCTACTGTTGTTCATGAAGGAAAAAACTGGAAATAGTATCTAAGAAGACAAAGTACACTACAAAAATAATATGGAGACAATAGAAATGGTAATATAAGGGAATGTTTAATGTCATGAAAAGTAAATAATGATATATGGATAATTTCTTAAAAAGCAAGCTAGGTTGGTATACATAAAAATTTTTAATTTCCATATCCGAAGAGTTACATAGACCAAAAGATACTATAACTGAAAAGACAATAGCCTTGGAGGAAATATTTTCAACATGTATTAATAACTGAATAACTGTAACAGAATAAGGGCTATAAGGACAACAACAACAATCTATAAAAAGGCTGTTCAGAAGAAATACAATCGACAAATAAACATATAAAATGATACCTAGCCTTCATAAATAAATTCAAACTAAAAATGAGATTTTTTTTGCCTGTCAGATTAACAAAATGGGTAAAAAATTGTTATGAAAGGCAATTTATAATATCTATTAAAATGTTAAATATTCTTATCTTTTGAGCATTTTCACTTGTAGGAATAAATCCTTCAGAAACATTCCTGTAAATGCACAGATAAATGTAGAAGGATATTCCTTACAGCACTGTTTGTTATAACAGAAGAAAACTAGAAGGGACCCAAATCTTGATAAATTAGGGATTGGCTAAATAAGCTATAGTACACTCATACACAGAGTAATACACAAGCATTAGAAAAAATGAGGTCAGCAGTAAGTTCTAATGGATAAAATACCCAAAATATAATAAAAACAAAGTGCAAACAGTATAGTATCTATTTAGGGAAAAATCTGTCAGACCTAGAAAATACACCCTGCTCCATAATCTATCTTATACAATATTTATATTTGAAATAATTTTGTACTAACTAGCACACATTTTAAAAACATTTAAAGCATACTAAAATAGTATGTATGGTATGATCCCAATTTTGTAAAACAAAAAAACATGTATCACTAAAAATATGCATAAAGTATTAAAAAATATGCACCAAATATTTTATTGGGACATAGGAGTTTGGGTGATATTTATTTTTTCCTAAAATGAATATACATATTTATTTTCTAGTAAGAAAAAAATTAGCTATTAAAAAATTTAGGCTTATAGCCCATTTTTAGGACTAGAACCACCACTGCTCCATCCCTCCAGGAAGTCTAGCATAGCTCCTGCTCCATCTTAAAACTCACCCCTCCCCTAGCACTTTCCACCTTGTCTGTGTTCACAGCTCAGCTCTGCTCTGAGGCAGGGCAGGCTAGGTGTTTGGCTTACATTCAGTCTTTGCATTTTCAAAAACAGAGTCAGTGTCTCTAGATATGTGACCAGGAATACCCAATTTCTTTGAGTGGGGCTATTATATCAGATGAATCCTTCACTCAACAATCTCTAAGGTCAACAAATAAGCTCAGAGAGGAGAAGTAAATGTGGCTAATAGCAGATTCCCACCCAGAAACACAGAGTGGTAGCAAAGTGTGGTCTTCATTGATCTTTATTGAATGAGAGGCTCCAGGGACAAGCAGGTGAGATCAAGAGTGGCTATAGCAAGTATAAAAGTAAGCATAAAAGTATAAAACATATAAAAGTATAAAACAGGGTTGGGGGACCTTAGGAACACAGGACTGAGGACTGGCCACAGTCTACCCCTCCAAGGGAATCTAGGCCTGAGGGACCTGTGCAGGGCCCTTGGCTGCAGGTGGAAGTGCTTTGAGTGGGGCCCAACCTTGGGCCTTGAAGTAGGAGACCAGTTGCGTGGGTACTTCTGCAAGTACAGTCTGCGCCAGTGCCTCTCGAGGGGCCTGCCAAGGAGAAGAGGGGCAGGTTCAGTGATGACCCATGACAGCTTCCCCAGGTCTACATTTCATACCCCAGAAAGGATACAAAATCCAACACCCAACCCTGCCCCAGGCTCAGATGAAAGGGTAAGTATCCCCACTCACATCAGGGAGAGGTGGAAGACTAAACTCCACCTCTCAGTGGACAAACTCCACCGAGCTTGTCCCTACTCACATTCTGGAAGCGGCGGTAGGGCACAAACTGCACTATGTCACGAGCAGCTGCCTCCCCGGAGCGTGTACGCAGGGGTCCACCATCAGCATCCAGCTGCTCCATGGCCTCGAAGTCAGCGCCACCAACACCCACGATGATCACTGACATGGGCAGGAAGGAGGCACGAACCACAGCCTCACGTGTGGCCTCCACATCTGTCACAGCACCATCGGTCAGCAGCAACAGCACGAAGTATTGCTAAGGGCAAGTTCGTTCATATACTGAGGCAGACCCTCTAAACATTCCAGCCACATATTCCCACACTGACAAGAAGGCTCCTGTTACAAGGGAGGCCCTGACCAAGTCCCCTCTCCCCACCCACTACCTCCCATGACCCTCACCGAGGCCGTCCTCTGATGTGCAGCCTGGGCTGCAAACCTAGCCACATGGTTGATGATGGGTGCAAAGTTGGTGGGGCCATAGAGCCGAACTTGGGGCAGGGCCTGGCGGTAAGCATCCACAATGCCCTGGATGCCTAGAGAAGAAAGGCAAAGAATACTGTAAAATACTGGGCCTGTCAGGGTTCAGCTAGTCCTGACATCACTCTATACTGGCCAAGGAGATTTAGGAACCTGGGTGCATTTCATTCAATTATCCCTGTAACCCACAGTTCTACCCACATCATCCCACATCATTGGGTAGAACATCAGTTCTACCCAATCATCCCTGTAACCCACAGTAAACCCAGATTAGGGGGAATCCCCTGAACAAATCTAGGAGTGCTGAGAGCATCAGATTATAACCCACTTAATAAAATAATGAATTATAACCCATTTAATAACATAAGAATCCACAGAGATATTAAATAATGGGAGAGAAGAAAACGTTCTTCCTTAATAAATGTCAATATATGTCAAATAAATGTCAAATATATGTCAATAAATGTCAAATAAATAAATGTCAAATAATAAATGTCAAATAAATCATTTGACAATCAGAGATAACTGATTCAGGCAAGGATCATCAATGGATTCTAAAACTAGAGGGTAAAAACTGATGAGTGATTGGATATTTATACAGCCTCAAAGTATCCTCCCAAAGGATACTTATTAATTAAAAGAGAAAAAAAAAAGACTCACACACCTATGGTCAATTACCTTTGATAAAGGAGGCAAGAATATACAATGGAGAAAAGACAGTCTCTTCAGTAAGTGCTGTTGGGAAAGCTGGACGGCCGCGTGCAAACCAGTGAAGTTAGAACACTCCCTCACACCATACACAAAAATAAACTCAAAATGGCTAAAGACTTAAATATAAGACAGGACACCATAAAACTCCTAAAAGAGAACATAGGCAAAACATCCTCTGACATAAATTGTACCAATGTTTTCTTAGGTCGGTCTCCCAAGGAAATAGAAATAAAAGCAAAAATAAACAAATGGGACCTAATCAAACTTACAAGCTTCTGTACAGCAAAGGAAACCGTAAACAAAATGAAAAGACAACCTACAGACTGCGAGAAAATATTTGGAAATGATACGACCGACAAGGGATTAATCTCTAAAATATACAAACAGCTCACACAACTCAGTAACAAAAAAAACAACCCAATCGAAAAATGGGCTAAAGACCTAAACAGACACTTCTTTAAAGAAGACATACAGGGACTTCTCTGGTGGCACAGTGGTTAAGAATCCGCCTACCGGGCTTCCCTGGTGGCGCAGTGGTTGAGAGTACCCCTGCCGATGCAGGGGACATGGGTTCGTGCCCCAGTCCGGGAAGATCGCACATGCCGCGGAGCGGCTGGGCCCGTGAGCTGTGGCCGCTGAGCCTGCGCTCCGCAACAGGAGAGGCCACAACAGTGAGAGGCCCACGTACCACAAAAAAAAAAAAAAAAAAAGAATCCGCCTACTTATGCAGGGGACACGGTCAAGCCCTGGTCTGGGAAGATCCCACATGCCGTGAAGCAACTAAGCCCATGCACCACAACTACTGAGCCTGTGCTCTAGAGCCCACGAGCCACAACTAATGAAGCCTGCATGCCTAGAGCCCGTGCTCCACAACAATAGAAGCCACCGCAATGAGAAGCCCGTGCACCACAACGAAGAGTAGCCCCTGCTTGCCACAACTAGAGAAAGCCCACATGCAGCAATGAAGACCCAATGCAGCCAAAAATAGATACATTAAAAAAAAAAAAAGACATACAGATGGCCAATAGGCACATGAAAAGATGCTCAACATTGCTAATTATTAGAGAAATGCACGGAATTCCCTGGTGGTCCAGTGGTTAGGACTCTGTGCTTCCACTGCAGGGGGCATGGGTTTGATCCCTGGTCGGGGAACTAAGATCCCGCATGCCACGCGGCACGGCCAAAAAATAAAAATAAATTAATTAAAAATGATTAAAAATTAGAATTAAAAAAAAGACGTGACACATACACACACACACACACACACACACACACACACACACACACACAGTGGAATACTACTCAGCCATAAAAAGGAGTGAAATATTGCCATTTGCATCAACATGGATGGACCTAGAGATTATCACACTAAGTCAGTCAGAAAGAGAAAGACGAATACCATATAATACCACTCATATGTGGAATCTAAAATATGATACAGGGACTTCCCTGGTGGTACAGTGGTTAAGACTGAGCTCCCAATGCACGGGGCCCGGGTTC